AAGCCTAACGGGACGTGACTGGCTAGAACACATGAATTTAGACAGGAAGTCCATATTCCGAATCGAGGGATCAACAAACCATCGGAAAGAATCTGGAGTTAGAGGCTATACTTTAAAAGTACACTGAAGTATTTAAGGAGGGTCTTGGAACCTTTTAAAGGGACAAAAGCACAAAATGCATTTAAACTCTGAGAAAAATTACAGTATATAAGAAAAAGAAGAATTAGCTATAATTTTTGTTTTGAAGAAGTTTCATCAGTATCTGTATGATCAAATGTTTAAAAGATCATAAACCATTAGATTATTCAATGAAATTAAACAGATACCACTTATGGCAGCAGCTCGATTGCAACTTTGGGTTTTGACATTGTCAGCGTATGAATATTCAATTGTGTATGAAGGGAGAAAGAACAATGCAAATGCATATGGATTAAGTAGACTTCCATCAAACTGTAAAACAGGACCAGAAGTGCCAGGCGAATTGATACTTTTAACGGAATACATTGATCTTACATAAGTGACGTCACGACATTTTAAATTGTGGACTTTTTTCTACAAGGATGGCCACCTTCAAATACAGATAATGAACTTAGACCATACTTTACACTGGTTTTAGAATTAAGCTAACAGGACGGATGCTTACTGTCTGGAATTCGTGTGGTGGCTTAATATGGACTCGGAATTATAAAACAAGATAAAAAACTGTCACGAATGTCAGGTGACCCGTCATGCTCCAGCTGAAGCTCCGTTGCACACATGAAAATGACAAGAAAAACCAGGGTCTCGGTTGCATATCGACCTTGCTGGTCCGTAGGCTGGTAAAATATTTCTGGAATATGTCGATGTACATCGAAAGTACTAGGAAGTACAAGTTGTGAATTCAGCAACATCAGCAGCAACAATTGAGAAATTGCGCATGATCTTTGCGACATATGGAATTCCAGATACAATTGTTAGTGACAATGTGACTCCGTTCACCAGTGAGAAATTCGAGAGTTTCACTAAGATAAAAGGAATATGCTATATTAGAATCTCGCCGTATCAGCCAAGTTATAATTTTTAAGCAGAACGTGCTGTACAAACGTTTAATGGCGGTTCAAAGAAAGCGACGGAAGGAAGTTTCGGACAAGAATAGTATGTATTTTCATATCGAATTACACCACATGAAACTACTGGATTACCACCGTCAATAATGTTAATGGAACGACGACTGTGATCGCTATTGGATTTACCGCATCCAGACCTACAACAGCGTGTCAGACATATAGATTCTTAAGTTGTTAGCAGTGGATTATCGGGTTTTTCCAATCGAGATAGTTAAAATTATGGAATTTTAAGTCCGAGCCATAATTTAACTATCGAGATTGGAGAAACCCGATAATCCACTGCTAACAATGTAAGAATCTGTTTCTTTTATGACCAAAAAGCTAATTTTAGTTCCATAGAAAATTAAATTCTCCAAACCATGCCTTTACTACGTCGTCCGATGTGACGCGTCTGCATATTTATACGCACACAAGTCTTTTGTTTACCTTTAAGTATTATTTAAAAAAAACCAATCCAATTCAATTTAAATTCCAACATGTTTATATTTTTTCACAAAAAGAACAATGAAATAAATGTTTTTATCAACTGAACGGTGATAAAAAAAAAAGAACTTTTTCGCTGATAAATAAGATCATCGTTCACTGAAATTAACACGAAGGAGAATGAATGAAGTTCAACATGTCTGGCCACATTAGTTGAGTCATCTTGCGAACTGTCACTCCCGATGACGAATCGGCGTTTCTTCTGAGGAGGCTGAACTGATGGTGATGTATTGTTTATGTTGATATTAAATGTTCCTCCATAAATAGGCGCCCCAAAAATATAATTCATTCCTGCACGCGGTTCATCGTGACTTTGCCCAACCATGAGTTGTGTCTCAGTTTGATGAAGTTATTGATATCCCATCGTAACCGTCCTCGTTGTCTGTGAAGACTGTATTTGTTCATGTTCATCTCGGGTGAGATGCATCGGGCTATCTGTTGATGTTTCTGAGGGTTCAGTTTTTAGTAAGTGGTTATACTTCGTATGTTTTTGTGTCCAGATATCTGAAATTTAGTAAAAGAAAAATCATAAGCATTGAATGAATATTTACTCAAGTATGACCTTATGTGAAAATATATTGTGCAAGCGTCCGAGGAAGAAGTATAAATGGACTAGATTTTGGAATTGTAAAATTTTAATACATTGAAGGACAGTAAACTATCTGACAATTTTTGAAAGGATATCACTTATTAGCATGGTAATGTCACAGTACCCAAATAGCACATAGCACATATTTTGCAAAACACAAGCAGCAGAAATCTTATAGGTTTTCTGAGAGACTAAAAAATTCATATGTTTACAATTTGCCATTATGCACGTGTTTCTATCAAGCTAAATATACTTAAGTATACACAAATCGGTCATAATATATGTCTTATTTTCATGGTATTTTCACATTTTTGATCGGTATGAGGAAAACTTTGTTCTCGGCAATTGAAAGGTCCAAATTCAATTATGATGTCAAATTTTCTTGATTATTTTTGAATTTGCTATCGTAACGTCATGAAAAAGGCGACCATGCCTGATGACGTCACATATGAAGAACACACTTTTTTCTGCAAATCTTTGAAAAGGAAGGATAAACTTTGTTTAGATATCGTCCAAAAATCTTGAGAGAAACAGTTTCCACCACTATATCTCGTGTATTACGATATTTTTCCGCTATTAACAATTAAATTTTAAATATTCAAAAAGCTCGGCAAGCCTGGCGTTTTAAATTTCAAAATTTAATTGTCAGAGTCTCGAGTGGAGAAATATCGTACCACACTTAATGGAGAGGTCGAATCTATATATTAACAGATGAAGTATCCAGTGAAAGATGTTAAATTTAAAGAAACGTCGCATGTGACGTCCACAAAAAGTCAGCTATTATCAATGAGCAATTGAATTAAATTATGTCACGGGCATCCATTTCTGACAAAATGAAAGTAAGCATGGACAACTGTCAAGTTATTCTAAAAATGTGGAGAACTAAAACAAAATATCAGTTGTTCAATTTTTAAGGAAGCGTCGTTAAGCATGGGTGCAATTTAGTTACTCCTCATTATACGGTCGTTTGGAGGTAGGTTCAAACCCATTTTTTCTACAATTCAGTATGGATTCAAAATTAATCTTGTGAAAATATATAGTAAATAAGGATACATCTACAAAATAAACACACAATGGAAACTTTTGTCTGTTTCTTAAACGTAGGTGAAAAAAGTGCCAGTACAATTTGGGTACCCTCACGTTAATGTTGAAAATAGACAATAAACAGGGCAACCCATGGTTACTTTAGGTAGAGCTGCAGAATAAGCAAAAAAAATGTATTTCTCTTCTTCTAAGCCAATTTATACATTTTCCTGATTGATTGATTACATTTTTGCCATAACTTTTATGCTAATTTCTCTAATTTTCATGTTGTTTTCACATTTCTCGATCGGTATGAGAAAAATATTCCTCATCTCTAGAGAAAATTTTGTTCTCGGCAATTGATTTGTCAAAATTTTATTATGACGTCAAATTTTCTTGATTTCTTCTGAATTTCCTCTTGTGACGTCATGAAAAAAGGCGTCCATACCTGATGACGTCACATATAAAGAACACGACGTTTTGGAAATCTTTGGAAAGGAAAGATAAACTTGTTTAGATATCGTCTAAAAATCATAAGAAAAACATATTCCACCACTTAATCTCGTGTATTACGATATTTCTTCACTCTCAAAAGTTAAATTATAAATAATCAAAAAGCTCGGCAAGCTTTAAAAATTAAAAATTTTACTGTCTTGAGTGGAAAAATACCGTAACACAATTGATGCAGCGGTGGAATCTATATTTAATATGTGTGTAAGTGTGAAAACTTAATAATTATTTTTTAGGTTTAAAGGACCATAAGGCTACATGAAGTTAATTTTGAGATTACTATCAACCTTAAACAAAATTTTAAGAGGGCAGGGATGAGGAATTTTTTCTGATATTTTTAGAAATTTAGTCTTATAAAAAAAAAGGGGGGAGGTAAAAAACGGAGTATTGCAATTTTAGTATTTGACACAGATTATTCTACATGTATTTAAAACTATCCTTGTTAGTACAATGGTCAGTACACTCATCTACAGATGAGGGATCTAGGTTCGATTCCTGGACTTGGAGTTTACATGTAAAGTCAAAATATGTCAATTTACTCTTGCTAAAATTTAGATGAAAATATACATGTACAAGTTGCTTAATTTGACCATTGTTAAAATTTGAATAATCAACCTGTTGTCCACAGTTCTACCTTAGTATTGGTAAAACTCAATTACGACTTCCAGTTTCTTTAATTTTAAAACTAAGCTGATTTATAAAAGAAACAGATTCTTCTGTCACTGTGGACAAATGGGTTTCTCAAATCTTGAAGGTTAAATTTTGGAATTTAAAAATCCTCGCCAAGGCTCGGACTTTTAAATTCCATAATTTAACTGTCTCGATTGGAGAAACCTTGTGATCCAGACCACTGATGTAGAATCCAAATTGAATATATCTTGATAATTAAATTATGTAAAATTCCATTAGATTTTTATGATAAAGAAACTCTATACTTTACTGACTACAAATATATAGAATACCAATCTGGGTTGAAAAATTAGATAGAAATATAAATGAGGTTAACCAGTAGCCTTAAATTATCTGGATTTAAAAATTATGGAATCATTTTAGACTGAGCCGTCATAAAAAAATATTTTTTTGAACTTTCATGATTGGACAAATTTACAATAATATGCAAATCATTATAATTCTAAGAATCTTTATCACTGATTTGTATTATATATTTTGTATGTATATTTTATTCATTTTTGTTCTTTCACATTGCTATAAGTGAAGTTAGATAAAAACGTTTTAAGAGTTTATACATTAATATCATGTTTATGTACCGGTTTACAATATTTTATTACCTGTATTCAAAGCCGACACCAACTCTTTGTGCCTTAAACCGAAGGATGGACTTGTCAGGGTTGGTATTCTCCTGAATGTAAAATGGATCTTCAGGCTTACTATATTTTGAAGGTCTTTTTGAGTTGTAAAGTTTGATGCCTCTACAGGACATTTTGATCAGTTGCATTGGAACAGGCCCTCTGAGGAATTTCTCTTGTGTTCTTTAGATTTGCTCCTGTCCTTGTTTTGGTGTTTCTCTCATTCATTTGCAAGTACTCCTGTCTTTTTGAGTCTTTACATAGTTGGACATCCCCCCATGTTATCTGATAATGTTCAGTTACACCACGTAGGTCAAAATATATTGTGTTAAAAAACCTCAAGATTGTGCAAAAAAGTTGTAGGATTGGATAAGCCCAGCTGCCCAGTTTCAAACAATGATTCAATATTCTCATCAGTGAGTGTTTCAGCTCTTTTTCATCATATCCTTTACCCATGCTTTTAGCTCTATCTGTTTTGCCTTTAGAACATCTCTGGTTGTAGCAAGTTCTACGCTTTTGCTTATTTCATAGCCATAATCATTGCTCCTCAGTATTCTGTCAAAGGTACACATCATACCACGTAGATTAAATGTGCTCCTTACGCAGAAACTGCTCCAACAAAGTTATGAGGAGGACAGATTAAAAATGACACTCCGTAAATTTTACGGACACCATCACGAATTGGTTGATCCATACAATGTGTCTTTGTCCACACTAACTAAGGACATTTTTACCACGTGTTAGATTGTGGTTTGTTATTACGTCGTCTGATCTTTTAATTACCGAACGTGACTTATTCCCGATTGTGACTGTTTTCCTGAGTGTGAAACCGCATTGCTATAAGACGTGTCACGGTACTTTTCTATCCCATATTCTTGTATTCAATTTTGATGTTATACTTGTTATTCTCGTCGGATTTTGTCAAATGTCTTAACGTCTTTTCTGTTATATTCGTGTGTTATGGTAAAGATAATTAATCACCCCCTTCATTTATAAGATTTTAGTTTGGTTCAACGAAATTTATACGATATATTTGGTTTACAGTTTGATTCAGAAGAAACACCGACATAGCTAGATAATACAATTAATTATCTAATTAATACCACAATTTGATATTAATAAGTATTGTAATTTTCATATCAATGTTATTAATAAATGTAATGTCAGTATTGCAAATCTAATCTTGAATCAATCCTAATCCTATCTTATTTTTGGGTAATATTTTTACAAATTCAAATATGACGTCACTTTGTGTGTTTTTTTAGAATTTCAAATGTGACGTCACTTTTTGCGTTGAGGCTTTTGCTAACTCGGCTGTGTATTTTTATGTGTTGGATTAAGTTGTTTTATGTAATGTATCCGTTTTTATTCTGTAGTTAGTCCCCACTTCGGTTTTATCATGTATATCTATTAAATAGTCATTTTATAAAATTTACTGTTTGCAAAATTATAAATTATTCTAAATAATAAGGATGTTCTTGTCCCAGGCAGAAACTCTGTCCGTGTTAGGCGCAACTTTTTGGAAGTTTTGGTCCTCGGTGCTCTTCAGCTTTGTACTTGTTTTGGCCTTCAAACTTTTTTCCTCTGAGCGTCACTGGTTGGTCTTGTGTGGACAATACACACGTCTGGCGTATTGAATTGTAAGCCTAGCACCTTTTGTTAGCTATTATTCGTGTGTTTCTTTGTCCTATATGTTCTCCCATTTATTTGTATTGTGGTCCTGTCTTGTGATGTTGTCGTTTTGGTGTTGTGTTTGACGTTGCCATAAAAGCGGGAGGTTTGGCATGCCACAAAACCAGGTTTAACCCACCATTTTTTTTCTTAAAATGTCCTGTACCAAGTCAGGAAAATGGCCATTGTTATATTATAGTTCGTTTCTGTACATGTGTGTGTTACATTTTAATAATGTGTTTTTGTTGTGTCGTTGTTCTCCTCTTATATTTGATGCGTTTCCCTCAGTTTTAGTTTGTAACCTGGATTTGTTTTTATCTCTATCGATTTATGAGTTTCGAACAGCGGTATACTACTGTTGCCTTTGTTCATACTCTTCTCCATCAGTTTTTCTCACAGAGAAAAACTACTGACATAAAAAACTGTTTAATTCTTCAGGTGGAATTTCATGAATTTCTCCCTTTTTTCATTTTTCTGTTGCAGGAACTGTGTAAAAAGTCAAATCACAAATGTACTGAACTCCGTGGAAAATTCAAAATGGAAAGTCCCTAATCAAATGGCAAAATCAAAAGCTCAAACACATCAAACGAATGGGTAACAACTGTCATATTCCTGACTTGGTACATGCATTTTCTTATGTAGAAAATGGTGGATTGAATCTGGTTTTATAGCTAGCTTTACCTCTCACTTGTATGACAGTCGCATCAAATTCCATTATATTGACAACGATGCGTGAACAAAACAAACAGACACAATAGTTAAACATGTCAAAAATAGGGGTACAGCAGTCAACATTGTGTTATCATCTTAATCACTATAAAAACAAACAAATGTAACAAAGAAGCACAAAAAGGCAGACATCAAATTTAACATCCTCATTTTGCTTTTTTCGCATATCGCTTACATTTCTTTTTGGCAGTGCCTTGTTTTTCCTAATCCTTGACAAATTGTTCTACAGTAGGTACATCACTTGGAACAAACTGTCATGGTTTTGATGTCTTTGTTTTTTTTGCACTATTATTATTTGTACTAGGCTTTTGTAATATTGGAGGTGCTTGAGATGGTGCTGGCACATTTACAGGAGTTTCATGTGGCGTTTTATCAACTTCAAATCTGTCTGAAACAGATAAAGGAGTTCATCAGGAACAGGTGGTGGGGAGTCATGTTCTTATGTGTGTGTGACTGTCCTGTCAGGCTCAGATAGGCTCATGTCAATTCTTTTAATGAAAATTGCAGACGACGCGATCGCGATAGTTTGTTTACACGCTACTAAGACGTTTATCGAAGAAGGCCGAGAGTTGTTGTTAACCTTGAAAAGTAGTTCCGACCTGTCACGAACTTTGATTATCCAATCATTTGCTGAGAACAAATTTTTCATTAGAGATTAGAAATATTTTTCTCACACCGATCGGGAAATGTAAAAATAGCATGAAAATTAGAGAAAGAAAAAGCTAGTTCCAAGAAACGTTAGTTTGACATTGGAGATAAAGTTTATATTAGAAATCATAGCCGTGGAAAAACAGAAAGACGGAAAAGTCGAACCATTACCACACGAAATAGACCTGTAACGTTTTATGTGAAAATAAGTGATGGACGCATTGTGATAAGACATTTAAATCAAATTAGAAATACATACGACAATGTTATGGAAGATCAATTAGATATGTCCGAGATTCCGGATATGGAAATCTTGTCAGGTCTGGAGATAATCACAATAAGGACAGACGTAAAATATAAAACAAAAACACCAACATTTAAACAAACTGTTAATTCACCAGCACCAAATGTTAATTCGCGTCCTAGAAGAACGACGAGACCACCAAATCATTTTGGAGAGTTTGTGTACAAATGACCTTTATATAGAGCAAATGGTTAAGTGTTATGGGGAGAATAATCCATGTTAACCATTCAAGGTTAAGGTTTGTCTACTTATACCTTTCGTGCATGTATTTTTGATATTTAGTTTATTCTTATATTCTAGATAAGGGTTTATTCATGTGATTGTTTCATACTAGTATAGCTTTAAGTATATGTGCAGATTATTTCGTGTTATAAACATTATATAGACACTAGAGTACTTTTGATTGTCAGTTCAGATTAATGATGGATGAATGTGATAATTGAACATCATTCCCTTATGAACTATAAGTTAGAAACCGTTAGATTTGAATAGTTTTGTCTGCCCATGCTTCCAAAAGTAAGACTAGGTTCATGGGAAAGTTCACTTAAAGCTGCTTGCATGGATTCATTATTGATTTGTAGTTCGACCGTTTAGGATTAACAAAGTATACCTTAGGAACTTTGTGTTATTCTATGTGTGTATAGTTAAGATACCACAGGTAGTAACCCTATCTGATATTGTCAAATACTATATTGGAATAAAGATATTGATAAAAGACACTTTTGACTTTATATGGTATTACACTTTTGGATTAACGATCCACGTTCATTGACGTATCGTGGCTAAAGTCTGAAGTATGGATCAGACAGAAGATACGATAGATAAATTTGTAAATGGGGAACAGGATTCACCAGAGGTTAATTGCTTATGGAGACAAAGAACACTAAGCGAAAGAGGAAAGAGCTATTAGCTGAACAGAATAAGTGAACTATTTGGAGGTCTTAAAAGAATAACAGAAAATACTTTGGACCTTATATCTACGCATGCATCCGACGACGGTATAAGAAGTAAATATTAAGGACTTTGAAGATAGAGATGCATATTTGCAAAATTTTAAAGGAACAATAGAAAAGTATTTCTCCTGGAAAAAGGATCTACAAATAGTGCAAGTAACCGAGCTAGGAGTCATACATCAAGACAAAGTGACAGTAGAAGCCAGAACTCTGTACTGAGCAAAATGTCATCTAAAAAGAGCAGAGTAAGGCCGAACTACATACTTCGAGAGAAGCATTACAGAAGAAAATAAATCGAACTAGCTTAAATCCAATTGAAGATAGAAGAAGTGGATTTAAAGTTAAAAACAGACATTGCTGAGGTCGATGCGAAGACATTTGTTTTATATGTATACGAAAAAATTGGAATCTGTGGTAGCAGATACTTTTGCAACATCTAGTTGTCGTATTCATCAGGAACAGAAGGACACATTACTGGTAAATAAGGAGACTCATGTTATACAGAAGAATTCGGCAGCACAATCGTTTGAACCGAGAGCCAGAACTTTTGATGATAAAATGTTTCACAATACAGGTATAATCAAAGTTACTACGAAAAACGCCAAACAAAGGAATTTGATTCCGATCAACCTGGCAAATGTGACAAAATAGATGTTGGAAAAGTAGATGCTCAGCTACATGGAAAAATGTCAGATACTTATGCTATAAACAATCCTATATATACGTTAGGAGTCGACTTGCAATGCAAGGACTATAACGATAATACCAATACAGATGCGGTGAGTACAATTGTTAAGAGGTTGCAAAAACCGAATCCAGACATCAAAAGTTTGGAAGAGTTGATCCTCTGAAGTTTCGTTTTTTTCGTCAGTTTACTGCTAATATTGTCACAAACAGCGATTCAAACGACGAAAAAAATGAATGATATGGAGAAGCAGGCAACAAGGATTTAGCCACTTAAATCGCCTGCATGCAGCAGAAAAGAAACAATTGGAAGAGAGGTATGGTGATACTGAAGTCATCGCAATCGCATTCATCAGGAAAGCACTCGATTTCTCAGTCGTAGATCCAAGAGATTCAAAGCACTTTATCAGTTCTCTGCGTTTCTTATTGAATGTTAGAATGAAGCCAACAGTATTTATTCAATGAAAATACTTGTATATTTGGAGAACATAAAAAAACTAATGGGTAAACTACCATATCATCTGCACGATCGTTGGAGGAATATTATTTTACGCACCAAAACAAAGAATCAAATTATTAAATTTTAACACTTCTTAAAGTTTGATCTAAATACTCAGCTGACAAACTCACCAGTAGAATGCTCATATTGCAAGAAACTACACAAACTTGAAAACTGTGGATCAATTTCGAAGTTATAGCACCAAGAAAAGCTGAATCACTAAAAGAGTCTACCCCTATGTTTCGGTTGCCTGAAGAATGGCACATGACCAAGAAATGTACGAACAGACTCGCATGTTCAGTTTGTAAGAGGAAACATCCACCAATTTTGCACTACGAGTCGAAAAGTGTAAACAAACAGAGTGTGGGCTATCTGAGTTTAAATATTGAGAGTCAAAGTATACGAAGCAGATCTGATATTGTGAATCAAATAGGGACCGGTGATATAAAGAATTCTTGCGCAATGGATATTAAACCGGTCAAGGTTTAACTGAGAGACAAGCTAAAAAATATAAACACCTATACGTTCTTTGATACAGGGAGTAGAGTGTAATGTTTAACAGAATCATTGATGAGACAGTTATGTGGAAGCGGAAAATTTAAACAAATTAAATTGAATACACAAAGATATCCGCTAAAGATTCATACATGCATGCCAGATGGACTACACGTGTGTGTTATAGATATGGGTATGAATCATATAATCGATCTTCCGACCGTGTATCCGAAAGATAAAATGCCAGTTACAGATGCTCACATACCTACAAACGATGAACTTACGACATGGCTTCATCTTAATGGAGTTAGACTGCCAGACATTAACAGTACTGTTGGGTTAATGATTGGCAATAACGTACCGGACGCTTACACACCTTTCGACGATGCAATACGACCGATTGGTTCACCTTATGCGACAAAGACTCGCCTAAGGTGGATTATATGGCATTTGGTTAGACAAGATGTCCCAGAAACATATTCTGTAGTTAGTAGAGCTCAGGTAACTGTAATACATGATATTGAAGTAAATAGTAAACTTGAGCAGCTTGTTAAATACGCCATGAATTTTGCTTTCTAGAAAAAAATATCGATAATAAACGAGAGAATTCAGTGAAAGACAATTGTTTTTGGAACAAGTGATTTAGTCTGTACAGTCTGAAAATAGCATTACTGTATTCCATTGCCATTCAAAAAGTAAGAACTTGAAATTTCCGAATAATAAGATGACTATATAACATTCTTACACAAACTTTTCGCAAAAGGATATGCAGAAAAGGTACCTGAATGAGAGCTAGATCAGAATGATGGACGCGTGTGGTACATTCCACATCATGGAGCGTATAAAACTATGAAGCCTAACAAAATTAGGGATTTATTTGATTTTTCGGCTACCTACCCTGATAGCATGACAGTCTTGTGCTACATTTTCAACCGAAATACTTGTTGTCATACTTTCGTGGTAAATCGTTTTCCTCTTATTCACGAAACAACGGATTACGAGCAATGGAAATATGTAAATACGAAACTCAACCAGCTGAACTGGCATCTCGTGGAATGAATGTTGCAAAGTTCGGACAATGTTCTCTATGGCTTAGAGGACCAGACTTTCTTTGGTTGCCAGATAATGAATGTCCACAATTATCACGGATTTTAGAAATGACAGAAAATGATATCGAAGTCAAACATGTTGTAAATAAAGGCAACAGTAGGTATACCGCTGTTCAATAAGCATACCTCGATTAAGCGAAAAAAAAATCCGGGTCATAAACCAAAACAGAGGGAAGCACATCAACTATAAGAGGAAAACAGTGGAACAACAGAAACACTGAACTGCAACAAAAACAAACACCAGCATACATAGAAACGGACTATTTAATAACAACTGCCATATTCCTTACCTGCTACAGGACATTTTAAGGAAATATGGTGGTTTGAACCTGGTTTTATGGCTAGCCAAACCTCCCGCTTATATGGCAAATTTAAAAATACCGCTAAAATGACAACATTACGTGACAGGAATACAGTACAAATAAACGCAAGAACACTCAGGACAGAGAAATACATAAATAAATAATATAATAGTACATTACAACATGTAAACCACAGAATAACAACGGACACCTCCCATTAATCCACGACAGCACACCAAGACACCACAAACGAATTATAAACTGTGTGTCACACGAATGTATCAACGCCACAAAAAGTGAAGTATTTTTAGTGACGTTTATATTATCACAAGTAAATTTCTAAAAATAGAATAGATTTTTTTTATTGTAGACACGTACAAGAATATACGACTGAGTTTGTAATGGTGTTATTTTATGTATTTTCTAACCATGACAAGAATATTGAAATGGAATTGTGTGTGTAATGGTGTTATTATTTGTATTTTCTAACCATGTCGGTTTTTTTTCTAAATCAAAACTGTGTATTAAAAGAAAAAATCCTGTGCATATAGTTGCTTTAAACTAAAAATCATATAAATGAAATAGCTGATGAATTATCTTAACTTTTACATACATATAGAAAATAAAAAATAAAATAACTGTAATATAAGGCAAGATCATGTAAGACCAATCAGTAAACACACTTGAAAACAAACAACATAAAACAAAAACACTGTAGACGAACCACGAGTAACTCGAATATACTGACAAATAAGACATAATGATGTGCAATGTACCGAAAATACAGAATTCAAACCACAAACGATAAGACATAACACAATATCTATAAAGACTTACAAAAGAAACACCATAACTAAATACATGAATGTTGGATGTATAAATACCGAGACACGTCGTATAGCAATGCGAATTCACACTCGGCAAAACAGTCATAGTCACGTTCGGTACTTAACAGACCAGACGACGTAGATGGTAAACCACAATCTAAGACGTGGTAAAAATGTCGTTGTAAGTTTCAGAAACAGACACATCGTAAAAATCAATCAATTCGTGATGTTGTCCATAAAATTTATGGAGTGTCATTTTAATCTTTCCTCCTCATAACTCTGTTGGAGCAGTTTCTGCGTAAGGAGCACACTCCCGTATATGAAGTCCGTATAGTGTGAACATGCACGGGCATAACGTATCATCTGAGATATGTAAACACCATACGATGGGGAAGAGGGTATGTTACTGCTGAGAAATGGGAAATTGATAATTGGGAAGTTGAAATCATCCCGTTTGTCATAGATATTAGTGTGGAGTCGTCCAACTGTGTCAATATTGAGGAAAAAATCAAGGTATGAAGCAGTTCTTCTAGTACCAGTAGTATCCTTAATTTCAAGTTCACTGGGATATATTAGATGTAAGTACTGACTGAAATACGGGTTATTCAGTGGTAGGACATCATCAATATATCTTAAAGTAAAATTAAAGAATTTCACAAGGTGCTTTTACTTTTTGTCTTTTAGAAGGTTCTGAATGAAATCTGCTTCATACGAGTACAAAATCAAATCCGCCAGTAAGGGTGCACAATTAGTACCTATTGGAAAACCGACTGTCTGTTGAAATATCAATCCTCCAAACTCAACAAATATATTGTCGATAAAAATAATCCAGCATTTTGATTGTATCATCTTCAGTTTATCTTCTGATAGAATCAGTGTGGTTCTTTACAAAATAAGAATTATCATAACCCAAAACAAGAAATTTATATCTACGATTCCCATTTTTATAGAAAAAGCTCTAATGAGATGGTGAAGTCGATCTTTCAATTGAGCATGGGAAATAGTAGTGTAAAGCGTAGAAAAATCAAAAGTCTTAATGTTGTTGCTGCAAAATTGCAGAGATTGTGATCTAATATTTAGCAGTAGATCTTTAGAATTTTTAAGAATCCACATCTGGTTGAAACCACTGGTTAAATATTTCTCATCACAATATTTTTGAAGGCCATCTTTTACTGGAGAAAGAATAGTAGTCAGCACTTTAGAAAAATGTTTAGTCGAACATCTTGATGATCCAGCTATGTATCGTTCTTTATAAGGAGTTTTGTGAAGTTTTGGTATCCAGTATAATGACGGTAGATTTTCTTTGTTTTCTTTGATGTTAATACCAAAAGAAAGAAGGACAGATTTGTGATATTCTAAAATTTCATCCTTTGTAAATGATGTTAAAGAATATGTAGTATTATCAGTTTTGCTCTTTATTTCAAGCTCTTTTGTGAAAAAAATTAAAACAACACGTAAAATAATTTCATGCGTATGAAGCGCTTATCTGGATTTACCTTCATCAGGAACGCTCAAAGCCGCCCCGAAATGTATAGGAACCGAAAAAGTTGAAGAGCACATTCCCAAGTAATGGTTTTTACATATGAAGACAATATTATTGGAGGCTTTATCTGCTGAAAAAACGACATACTTGTCATGCAAAGAGGATAAAGCATCCAAGACCTCTTGAATGGGTTAGAAACCCATGTGCTCATAGTACATCGTAGTTTCTGAATGCGCTTCTGAATGCATGATCGAATAGCTTTGGTCCATTCAGACGAAGTGTCCAGTTCTGGTTCATTTTCCTCGCGGTTTACCCATTTTCTGGCATAGTCCTCAACTGCATCCATCAATAACCTGAAGTTCTTTTACAGTTGATGGGCTGGGGAATTCTATATTTTGATCCCTTGGCTAACAACTCTCTTAGTTGTTCATTGGCTACGATGCCAAGGTCGGCAGTAATAACAGGACCAGCTGGATTATAATTGTATTTTGACGATGCACATGAGCAATCCGGAGGTTTTGATTTCACATCTTTGAGGTTAAAGGCCTCTAAAACCCTCTTGTTATTGAAAATTTTGGATGCAATAGGCTTGGTGTAAGTATATGAAATTACAGGTGTAGCTTTATTTTTGAAGTAATCAAGTAAAGTTTTTTGTACAGATTTCTGGTGGAAAATATTGCTTATATTGATAGCATCTAAACCTTTATTGGCGAATTCTACTTTAAAAGAATTAAGTTTTTCCTCATCTTTGGAAGTAGTAGACACTGGTTTGAATAGTCTTTGGTTAGCAAAATCCATGATTATTGCAACTAATCTATACAAAACAGAATTAAAATCAATAACGGAAGTATTTTGGGCCTTTGAAATAGTTAATAAAGTTTAGATAATGGAATGGAGTATAATTTAGTTCTGATATTGTGAATTCCTAAAGGTTTTTGAACAGACGATAACAGACTATCAATTGTCACGGTGTGTTCAGCAGGTGGTGTATAATTTCTGTGACCATGACTTCTATTTCGTCGAGCAGAAGAGTTAAATAAGTGTAATTTTTTGACAGTACTACACCTGGGACTAGACAAAATACCTACACCATCAATTTTGTCATTGCATCCATATGGAATGGCTGTTCCCAACTCTCTAATCCAAAAGTCTTCTCTTTGTAACCGATATGGTGTGCTCAATATGGGATCATTTGTTGAATGATAAATTTTCTCTGTAATCTGGACTTTCATTGCAACAATAGAATGGTCAGGCTGATTAAAATGTTTATAGAGAAATTTGTTGATATTAGGATCATTAATAATAGACCGATGGTCATTTATTCTTAAATTGAGTCTTTGTCGAGTTTCTCCGACATAGATCAGTCCACAAAGAGCACATTCAGTACCGTACACAATATTGGAACCAGTACAATTTTAATTCTCATGGCTGTAAATACGACCACAATTTAAAGTGAATGTTATCATGATGGTGTTGAGAAATTGCTTTCGATTGTATCAAACACCGGTAAAATGAAAAGGATAGTAACGTGTATATTAAGAGGCGTGCACAGATGGCGTAGAAAGATACAAAACAAACAAGATGATGACAATGAAGGCACCGTAAAAACTCAGCGAGATGAATAAAATAATATTAATAGGAATCTATATGACTAACGTTTGAATTTAGAAGATGTACAAATGTTTGAAAATGCGTTAATTCACATGATGCTCAGCATCAGTATTTCGAAAATGAATTTTTGAAATTGAAATTAAAATCTCGTGTGAAATTTCATCCAAATTGCATAAATTTGATCTGATTATTCTGCCCAAAACCTTCAACATGTCTCACCTTATTCTTCGTTATATGGATATATATAGAAAAAATGGTCATCTATACAATTATTCAATACTTACACATCTGCGAGAGAAGTTTTAGATTATTGGCGTAATCACTAACATCAAAAGTATATATTTTCATAATGTTTGGTATGCCGCACATACCAGTCTCCGCTCATACAGCAGTAAATGTCAGATTTGTCAAGTGACAGAGTAACTCAGGATATGCCTACATTTACAGCCGTTGGAATCAGTTAATTTGGTTCTTGTGAAATCAAACAAAGACAATGCTCTGTGAAGCATTATTGGGTCATATTTAAATGCCGTAAAATGAGGGCAATACACTTAGAGATAGCAAAATTATTCTAGGACAAAACATATCACGATGACACATTTCAAATAACATAAAACAATATGGTCGTTTGATCTGACGATGTCAACAAAAACAAACACGCCACGAGGATGCTCTTTAAGGGAAAAAAATTTAACAAGCAAGTTTCCAGTTTACATTCCCATACTTGATTATGGTATTCGTGTCATTAGGTCGTTTTGACGATGTGCATATCTCTGTTTGTTTCTGGTGACCTTCTGCGAAAGAACTCTCATTTTGGATGTTGAACACCGGCTAAAATTAAATAAATCAAATATATGAAAGACTAACGGTTCCTACCACAATGACAAAATTATGTTATTATATTGTTGTCTTATTGACTTCAACCCCACATTTCGTATAATGCATACTTCTTAAAACAAACTTGCGATGACGGTTTTCTTTGATATGAGGTCATGGTCGTCTAATTTTACCGGAAGGAAATTATGGCAATTGAAGTCTCAAATCAATAATATTTTTTTTAAATATTACGCAAGTTTCAGTGTTAGTTTTTAAAACACATTCTATACAGATGTAAAAGGAAGCATTAATACGAACTTCATTTAGACACCAACACTTCATCATGTAGTAAGTAAAGAACACTGATCTTTATATTTGTATGTATACTATTTTTATTGTTGTTTTTATTTGGGTTTTTTAATCCATTTCGATTCAACCTCAAATGGTGGATTGGAAGTGATTTGAATGGACTGTTTTCGACAGACAGCAACTAAATTTTATGATTTAAATAAAAACATACTGTCAATAGAACATGTTAATTAATTTGGTTTGACAATTAAAAACCGGTATTTTTTTTTCAAGGAAAAGTTAAATTACCAGTCAAGTGAAGGTAAAGAATTTTAAATTTAAGAATTCTTACTAAATCAAATCAGCTTTATATGCAGATCGGTGATGATACAAACTGTTATATTATATTGTGCATTTTCCGTTATTGGTTTGATATGTAAAGCTGTCTATCTTAACAAGGCAATTATAAATGTAATATATTTTCTGTATACCTTTCTAGCATCAAAAAAAGGTTTGTACCGGTAACATTCGTGGTCAGAATCCATACAGGATATGTTAGTTATGGCGAAGTCAAAGTCGTCTACCAGGTCACTAAGTTGTCTTTTATCATTTGTCAGTCCTATAGCTAAACCGTTTCCATGTGCCACTGCAAAAGTCTTAAGTAGTAAAATATAGGGAATAACACAAGATTAAACTTCTTCCTTGACAGAAGATCTTTAACGCGGATCCTGTTTAAAGTTAATGATTTCTTCTTTTATCAAATTAGAGTTTCCAAGTATACCAAGAGAAACACACTGAATATACGTAACATGTTTACAAAAATGTTTTCTACCCTAAAGCACTTCATTTTCTGTTTAAAAATTATCATCGATAAAAAAAAGTATATCAATTTCCGTATAAAAAATAAAAAATAAAAAATATCAATATACACGTGTTAAAAACGAATCTTTGTAAATAGAAATATATAGAAAAAACTACAAAATAGCTATGTGTTTGTTATGTGTCCCTCGGACATTATTTGAAATTCAAAAAAGTTATTGAACATCAATGAATAGTAGAGAATAATACACAGTTGTTCAAGGTCTATTAATTAGTACATAAACAACTCCTTCTTTGTCTCGCTTGCATACAGGTGTGACTATTCAGACAACAGGTGGACTGAATTTGCATTGCTCTTTATACTAGTGTCATAAAATAAATGGACTAGATTAATATTTTTCATAAAGTGTCTTATGGTATGAAGTTTCCTTCAGATTGTCAGTTGTCCATGATTTATATTATTGTGTATAAATTTATTCGAATCCTTGACACTTACTGTTAACTCAACCTCTAAAATCTAATGAAAAGAAAGGAATATGTGTGGCATATACACACGAAATAAAAAAAGAGACGAAAGATCCCAAGGGGATATTCAAAACTAATAAGTCGAGAGAAACTGACATTGCAAAACACGAAGACAACAAAAAGACAAACAAGGCCACAAAACACTATATAGAACACTAAAAAATTGAACAACACGAACCCAATCAAAATCTGCTGGTGTTCTCAGGTGATCCGGAAGGGTAGGGTCATCCTGTCCTTCTAGTGGTATCTGTCTCATGATAAGTACAAGCTATGTGAAAAGTCTCACGAAGTGATGTCACAATCGAACATGAGAACGGTGCTGCAGCCACTACAATTGGAACACAACCGCGGTCTTTCATGACACAGACATTCAACAAAAGTCAACCAACCATAAAACTCCAGAACGGATAAGCCTTACTCCTCCATCCGAAACCGCCGGCCCAACAGCAACCCGGCAAGTATTTCCTCCACCAAGAAATACGAAAGCTCTTCCTCTTCATAAACTAAGTAGTTACCGAAGCTAAGGTACAACTTCCTCAGTCTAATTATACCTTACTGTCCAATTCTACTTCCAAAACGGTTCGAATGCTCTCAAACTTTCATATTTCGTTGCTTTTTGAACGTTTTGTCTCTAGTATACATAATAAAGATTAATCCAGAAACACGTGTCTTGCCCACGAAAATCGGTATCATACGTTGTGTGCACATGATTTATAAAAAAGTAAGACGTTGAAATAAAGATTGCACATTTGAAACACCTTCATTTACGTGATATCCTTCTTCAAATTTTGATATCAACAGTTCATATGTATCTTTTGAAAGTTTATCTATGAGTCAACGTGGGATTATTGCGAGGAAAATTCTTAAGTGTAAATTATATTAAGTTCACAAGTATGTTGTAACATTATTACTAAAAAAAAGGCAACAGTAGTATACCGCTGTTCAATAGTCATAAATCGATTAAGCCAAAACAAATCCGGGTCACAAACGAAAACCGAGGGAAACACATCAACTTTAACAGGAAAACAACGGAACAACAGAAACACTTAACTGCTACAAAAACAAACGCCAACAACATAGAAACGGACTAATTGATAACAACTGCCATATTCCTGATTTGGTACAGGACATTTTAAGAAAAAATGGTGGGTTGAACCTGGTTTTATGGCTAGCCAAACCTCCCGCTTATATGGCAATGTTAAAAATACCGCTAAAATGACAACATCACGTGACAGGAATACAGTACAAATAAACGCAAGAACACTCAGGACAGAGAAATACATAAATAAATAATATAATAGTACATTACAACATGTAAACCACAGAATAACAACGGAGACCTCCAATTAATTTACGACAGTACACCAGTACAACACAATAGAATTATGAACTGTTTGACAGTGATGAAGAAAGGATGTAAAAGTATAAACATGTATTACCTCTCGCCAAATATCTGTTATAGTCCAATTGATCATCTGCTGTTAAATGAAGTACCAGTCTGATTATCTTCCCGCGCATTTACATTATCCGGATCTACACCATCACAATGGCTGAATTTTGCATGTTCAATCCGATCTCTCATTATACGTCTTACCCTGCAAACAAACGGAAAGATATTATAAGTTATTTACGTTCATATCCGTAGATATTGGTATTTTAACACCCTGAAGTACCCTAATACATGCTGAGACGTTTTTTTTTAATTGAATTTTTTTCTTATTGAACTTTTGTAATTTGAACATTTTTTTTGCGGGGTGTAGAGCCCTACAGGTATTTGAATATAATACCTTTTTACCCAGAGACTGAAAAACTAGAATAAATCAAATTTGGAGCTTACTATCGCGAGCGTTACGTCAAAGACGTTGCGACGTCAACGTGAGTTATTTTGCATAACTAGGCCAGTAGTCCTGTTCATTGACGACGTGATAGACACGTGATGCATTTACAAGAATGAAAGCCAATGATCGCCATATATAATAAAATCGTTAGTGGTTTCAATATTTAATTACAGACATCATATATATTCTATAGAAATCAAATTTTCACTGGAAACAACCAAGGAACTACGGAAAACGCGCATTAAGTTCCCCGGAGTAATGGGTATCAATACCCGGGTATATGGGTTACCAATACCCGGTGCTATGGTTTTTTTAACGACGTGTCATTAGCCAATCAAAATCCGAGAAATAAACTAAGCCGGCGATATAGTGTGCTGTTTTAAAGATTTCGATTGATTGATGGCTGACTGACTTTCAGCAACAAGTATTATATGCATATTCAGGAAAATAACATATCAATGAGACATGGATATACAATGCTATGTACTAGCCTTCATGTTAACAGTCGAAATAGATATATCTCCAGAGCCGATCAGCCTCTACGCAGAAACAGCAAAAAATGATTTAAAAAGTCTCGATTAAAACAAGAAAATTTTTATATCAGTAATGTATAACAAGAGTGCACACGCTGAAATATCTCGCCTGTTTTACTGACCATGATTGATTTAATGTTGAAAGTCTTAAAGATAAAGGTTTTTCTATAAGCATCACATGAACTTAACATTATCAATGGTCCATGATATAGATCATGGTCATATAAACTGGGTCAAACAGACATGTCATTGGATGTTGGATGTGTACTGATTGATATTTTAGTCTATGATACATTGTACATGTTTTTTTTGTATTAATTATTATTGGCTTTGAACTATCTTTTAATAACATCGAGTACTGTAATTTGTGTCTTTTTTGTTTTTGTTGGTTTTATGGTGCTTTGTATCGATCTGATGAGTAAAGCTCTTTTCAACTGATTTTTATAGTTTGTTGTTATCTTATATTGTTACACCAATATACCAGGTTAGAGGGAGGGTTTGCGCCAGCAGTATGTTTAACCCCGCCACATTGTGTATGTGCCTGTTCGAAGTCGGGAGCTTGTAATTCAGTGGTTATCGTTTGTTAATGTATATCGTATTTGTTTTTCGTTTATTGTTTCTTTCAGAAATCCAGCCGGTTTTTTCTCTCGTTTAAATAATTTTACCTTTGTCCTATCGGGATCTTTTATAGCTAACTATGCGTTATGGGTTTTGCTCATTGTTGAGGGCCATACGGGAACCTAAAGTTGTTTTAACTTCTACGTCATGTGATCTCTGGTGGAGAGTTGTCTAATTGACAACCATATATCTTCTTACGTGTATATGTACACATTAAATCATTCCATACATCAAGAGTTGACCTATGGCTTATAGTTACCAAAAAACACACAAAACCGTAAAAAAATTGACCAATGAACAACGAAAATGAGGTCTAGGTCAGATGAAATGAAAATGAGATCAAAGTCAGATGAAACCTGCCATACTATTATGTACACCCTACAATCATGCCATACACAACATTTACTGTCATATTACTTATTATAAATGAGAAATTCACATGACCAAAACACTAAAATTGAGAATGGAAATGAAGAATGTGTCAAAGAGACAACAACCCGACCAAAGAGCAGAAAACAGCTCAAGGCTGTATATTTTTTTAAGCATTCGATTAACCATGAAAATGTGGTCAATGACAATTGACATATGACAGAAGGAAAGTTACACAAGGAATTTGTATACAAGGTATGAAGTTTTTTACCCTCTAAATATAAAGCTTTATACAATTAGTTTACTGCGCCACCGCCACAGCACGGGCTGCAATCCATATGTCGCATTCTACTTGTTCGTCAAAGGCGATAAAAAAATTATATATACTCACTGACTATTTCTGATGTCAACCCACGTCTCGCCTGGCCAATCCTTATTAGGAACTCCAAGTCCATCGGATGGGAACTGGCCAGCATCGGTTCGTACATCTTCTTTTGTTCCAGTAGAAAAGTAACATATCACCTTCTTCCTATTTCTGATTTTGGAGAAAAAATATTATATGGAAAGAATTAATATGCAAATAGTATACGGTTTAAATAGAGTAGCAAAACCTGTTTATGACAAAAGTAATATATAAAGCGCCGATACAAATTTGTGATAATGGAAGCTCCATAAGTGGTCAGTTTTGATGGATTTCCAATTTTTGAATTAGCCTTGGTATTCGGTATTTTTGCTATACTTTTTTGTATATTTTTTCCGGCAGAAAAATCCGCTTTGGAGAAGTAATTGGATGCCATTATTTTGCAGTGTCGTCTTTTCAAGTTTCTATGTAACCCATACAAAATCTGGTGAACCCCCTACCGTCCAGATTCCCCGAAAGGTCTTTTTCAGAAAAAATGATGATTTTGTAAGCATTATTATGACAAACTTGAGGAGATCATCAATATGACATACCTGCGGAGATCATCAATATGACACACCTGTGGAGATCAATAATAAGACATACCCGAGGAGATTATCAATATGACATACCTGTAGAGATCAATAATATGACATACCCGAGGACATCATCAGTATGACATACCTGTGGAAATCATCAATATGACATACCTGTGGATATCAATAATATGACATACCCGAGAACATCATCAATATGACATACCCAATGAGATCATCAATATGACATACCTGTGGTGATCATAAATATGACATACCTGAGGAAATCATCAATATGACATACCCGAAGAGATCATCAATATGACATACCGGGCGAGATCATCAATATAACATACCCGTGGAGATCATCAATATAACATAACAGAGGAGATCATCAAAATAACAAACATGAGGAGATCATCAATATGACTTACCTGAGAAGATCATCAACATGACATACACGAGGAGATCATCAATATGACATACCGGACGAGATCATCAATATGACATAACAGAGGAGATCATCAAAATAACAAACATGAGGAGATCATCAATATGATATACCCGAAGAGATCATCAATGTGACATAGCTAAGGAGATCATCAATATGACATACCTGTGGAGATCATCGATATGACATACCTGAAGAGATAGATCATCAATATGACATACCCGAGGAGATCATCACAATGACAAACATGAGGAGATCATTAATATGACATACCCGAGAAGATCATCAATATGACATACCCGAGGAGATCATCAATGTGACATAGCTGAGGAAGTAACCAATACGGAATACGTGAGGAGATCATTAATATGACATACTTGAGGCGATCATCAATATCATATATATGAGGAGATAATCAATATGACATACCTGAGGAGATCATTAATATGACACACCTGTGGAGATCATCAGAATGACATACCTGTGGAGATCAACAGTAGGACATACCTGTAGAGATCAACAGTATGATATACCTGTGGAGATAATCAATATGACATACATGAGGAGATCATCAATTAAATAAACATGAGGAGATCATCAATATGAAATATATGAGGAGATCATTAGTATGACATACCTGTGGAGATCTTCAATATGACATACCTGAGGCGATCATCAATATCACATACATGAGGAGACCATCAATATGACATACATGAGGAGATCATCAATAAAAAAAACATGAGGAGATCATCAATATGAAATATATAAGGAGATCATCAGTATGACATACCTGTGGAGATCATCAATTTGACATACCCGTGGAGATCAGCAATTTGAAATACGTGAGGAGATCATAAATATGACATACCTGTGGTGATCAATAATATGACATAACTGTGGAGATCAGCAATATGACATTTCTGAGGAGATCATCAATATGACACACCTATGGTGATCAATAATATGACATACCTGTGGAGATCATCAACATGACATACCTGTGGTGATCATCAATATTACATACAAGAGAATATCATCAATATGATAAACCCGACGGGATCATCAATATGACATACCTGATGAGATAATCAATATGACATACCTGTGGAGATCATCAAAATGACAGATATGAGGAGATCATCAATATGACATACCTGAGGAGATCATCAATGTGACATTCCTGAGGAGATCATCAATATGACATTTCTGAGATCATGAATATGACACAGCCGTGGTGATCATGAATATGCCATACCTGTGAAATCATCAATATGACAAACCTGAGGAGATAATTGATATGACATAGATGACAAGATCATCAATATGACATACCTGAGGAGATCATCAATATGAAACACCTGTGGAGATTATCAGTATGACATACCTGTGGATTCAATAGTATGATATACCTGTGGGGATCATGAATATGACATACCTGATGAGATTATAAATATGATATACATGAGGAGATCATCAATATGACATACCTGTGGAGCTCATCAGTATGATATAACTGTAGAGATAATCATTATCACATACATGAGGAGATCATTACTATGACATACCTGTGGAAATAATCAATATGACATACCTGAGGAGATCATCAATATGACAAACATGAGAAGATCATAAATATGACATACCCAAGGAGATCATCAATATGACATACCTGAGGAGATCACCAATATGACAAACCTGTGAAATTATCAATATGACAAACCTGAGGAGAAAATTAATATGACATAAATGACAAGATCATCAATATGACATACATGAGGAGATCATCAATATGACATACATGAGGAGATCATCGATATGACATACATGAGGAGATCATCAGTATGACATACCTGTGGAGATCATCAATATGACATACCTGAGGAGATCATGAGTTTTACATACCTGTGGAGATCATCAATATGACATACCCGAGGAGACCATCTATATGACATACCTGTGGAGATCATCAATGTGACATACCTGTGGAGAAAATTAATATGACATAGATGACAAGATCATCAATATGACATACCTGTGGAAATCATCAATATGACATACCCGAGGAGATGATCAAAATGACAAACATGAGGAGATCATCAATATGACATACCCAAGGAGATCATCAATATGACATAGCTGAGGAGATCATCAATGTGAAATAGCTGATGAGATCATCAATATGAAATAGCTGAGGAGATCATCAATGTGAAATAGCTGATGAGATCATCAATATGACATAGCTGAGGAGATCATTAATATGACACACCTGTGGAGATCATCAGAATGACATACTTGTGGAGATCAACAGTATGACATACCTGTAGAGATCAACAGTATGATATACCTGTGGAGATAATCAATATGACATACATGAGGAGATCATTAGTATGACAAACATGAGGAGATCATTAGTATGACATACCTGTAGAGATCATCAATATGACATACCTGAGGCAATCACCAATATGACAAACATGAGGAGATCTTCAATATAACATACATGAGGAGATCATCAATATGATATACCCTTGGAGATCATCAATATGACATACATGAGGAGATCATATATATGACATACATGAGGAGATCATATATATTACATACACGAGGAGATCATTAATATAACATACATGAGAAGATCATCAATATGACATACCCGAGGAGATCAGCATTATGACATACCCGTGGAGATCATCAATATGGAATACGTGAGGAGATCATCAATATGACATACCTGTAGAGATCAATAATATGACATACCTGTGGAGATAATCAATATGACATACCTGAGGATATCACCAATATGACACACCTGTGTAGATCATCAGTATGACATACCTGTGGAGATCAACAGTATGACATACCTGTGGAGATTATCAATATGACATACCCGATGAGATCATCAATATGACATACATAAGGAGATCATCAATATGACATACTGTGGAGATCATCAGTATGATATACCTGTGGAGATAATCAATATGACATACATGAGGAGATCATAAATATGACATACAAGAGGAGATCATCAATATGATATACATGAGGAAATCATCAATATGACATACCCTTGGAGATCATCAATATGACATACATGAGGAGATCACACGTACATGTATGACATACACGAGGAGATCATCAATATAACATACATGAGGAGATCATCAATATAACATACATGAGGAGATCATCAATATGACATACCCTTGGAGATCATCAATATGACATACATGAGGAGATCACATATATGACATACAGGAGGAGATCATCAATATAACATACATGAGGAGATCATTAATATGACATACATGAGGAGATCATCGATATGACATACATGAGGAGATCATCAGTATAACATACCTGTGGAGATCATCAATATGACATACCTGAGGCGTTGATCAATATGACATACATGAGGAGATCATGAGTTTTACATACCTGTGGAGATCATCAATATGACAAACCCGAGGAGACCATCAATATGACATACCTGTGGAGATCATCAATGTGACATTCCTGTGGAGAAAATTAATATGACATAGATGACAAGATCATCAATATGACAAACCTGTGGAAATCATCAATATGACATACCCGAGGAGATGATCAAAATGACAAACATGAGGAGATCATCAATATGACATACCCGAGGAGATCATCAATATGACATAGCTGAGGAGATCATCAATGTGACATAGCTGAGGAGATCATCAATATGACATAAAGGGTCCCAAAATGACTAGTGTAAAAACAATTCAAACAGGAAAACCAAAGGTCTAATCTCTTTAAAAAACGAGAAACGAGAAACACTTATGCACCACATCAAACGACAACCACTGAACAACAGGCTCCTGACTTAGGACAGGTGCATACAAATGCAGCGGGTTTGAACGTTCAACAGGCGCTAACCTTCATCCTAACCTGAAACAGTAGCGTAACATTACAACTTAAAAAGACACACTATAAAATATCAATTGAAATTGCTTAACTGATTCAACCAAAAAGATATCTGAAACGGACTTCACCAAGATGCTTAATAATTATTGACAACATATTTGTTACATTTTGAGGGCTATTTTTGACAGACACTCGGCATTCATATGGACACGAACTGTACTCCTCTTCTTGGAGACTTGTTTCTTTATTTTGAATTTCCACGTAAGACTTTCAAGAAAAATTAAAATCGTTTGACATATCATTAAACTAATGATGCGTTTTATGATTTACAGAACGTTTAAACACAATTTTAATCATCTACTGGTTACTTTGACATGTTATTTGCCCTAAAATTAATCAACTACAATCCCGTCCTCCTTCCCCGAATGTGACCTACCGAATAAGACATATTACCGGGTTTGTACTTACATGAGCAACACGACGGGTGCCACATGTGGAGCAGGATCTGCTAACCATTCCGGAGCACCTGAGATCATCCACAGTTTTTGGTGGGGTTCGTGTTGCTCAGTCTTCAGTTTTCTATGTTGTGTTTTGTGTACTGTTGTTTGTCTGTTTATCTGTTTGTCTTTTTTTTTAGCCATGGCGTTCGTTAGTTTATTTTTGACTATTTATGAATTTGAATGTCCCTTTGGTATCTTTCGCCTCTCTTGTTCGTCTTAGCTACTATTGTTTATAAATAGATAATATAACATCACCGAATGAGACTTATTTCCAAATTTGTACATATATATGTAACACAACGGGTGCCACGCTGGAGCAGGATCTGCTTAACCTACAAAAGCACTAGACATCACCCCCGGTTATTGGTGGGGTTTGTTTTGCTTAGTCGTTATTTTTCTATTTCTATGTTGTGTTTCGTAGACTTTGGTTTATTCCGCTCTCTTTTAGAATTCATCTTGAATGACAGCTACCAGCAAAACATTTCAAATTAAGTTTTAAGTATGTCTATCAAACCTGATTTGATATTTATCTAGTTGGATACTTTTTCGGATAGATTATATGCCCAAACTACAATAGTTTATTTTGAATGACAGCAGCAATCTTTTTTTTCTCAAAATGAAAACACACCTCCTCCTTGTGAGTAGTGAGCATGTCGTAGTAATAAACTCAAAAAAGTCAATTATGGGTATGGGCTCACTTTTGCGTATTTGTGTACAGTTTCCTACGGCAAAGTTGTTTGCCAAGAATGGTGAGAATAATGGCCATTGATTGTCCTAATCCTATAAAGCTCCGTTATTATTTGCCGTATATTTGGTAATTTCTAGCTTTAGTAGAGACGCATTACAAAAAGAAAGAAGATTTACATTTGTGAGTAGTGAGCATGTCGTAGTAATAAACTCAAAAAAGTCCCCGTAGGATTTCGATAGAAAATACATGTTCATGGCATAGCTTCCTACAGCATGTAATTCCTGATATGTTCACTTCATATACAAAGAAATGGACATTTGTTAAGGGTTTTAAGGAAATACACAATATCTGATACACCGTAAACTAATAAAAAATTTGCATCGACATCTGTACTAAGATCGTTTTATTTTCTGTTCTAAAACACCTCTGAATCATGGTTTAGCCATAATGTACTAAATATAAATAAGAAGATGTGGTATGAGTGCCAATGAGACAACTATCCATCCAAGTCACAACGTGTAAAAAGTAAACAATTATAGGTCAAAGTACGGCCTTCAACACGGAGCCTTGGCTCACATCGAACAGCAAGCTTTAAAGTTATATAAGTTGGTATTAGTTCATCTATTTTTTATGTAGTAAATGTCACAGGCAAATCATCTTAGTTTAAAGTACAGCAAGCAAAACAACTTCCAGATACTTTTATTTCCTTAAATTGTTCATATGCTTTTGCCAAAATATCCGTTTTCTGTATTTGTTTTTTGGTTTTTGTTTTTGTTTTGTTTTTATGCTTTTTTTGTGTTTTTTCCTTTTTTTGGCAAGGAACGAATATCTTGATTCGTATCCTTGAACTTATATATTCTGTCTTTGATTGGATTTTGTTTCTAAACTAATATTTTATTTTCTTATCATGTCCCTTACTAACATTTCTGCCTCGTTGACTTCGGCTATCTCATACATCTCTGTGGACTAGACACTAAGGACTTTTTTCTAAACGCCTTCACATATTGAGCTGATTTTTAGTATGTGAGTCTACAATAATGAGTTGTTCCGCTCCGCTGATGTTTGCTGAAATTACGGACTGTAGATTTTGACAATTTTGTGAAAATAACAGTTATACGGACTTTCATTCTTAGATTTCCACAGAGCTTTTTTGCGCGAGCGGGTCCATTCGATCGTTCCGACACATCTAGTCTATAACTAGGTCCATAAAAATTTTGGAGAACTTCTAGTTATCGGGATTATATTGGAAAGATTTTCCTGTAAGTAGCGACCCTTTATCAAGTTAATAATGATCTATTGGAAACATAAGCCCTGAGATATCGCATCAACTGAAAGAGATGTTTGGCTCATTCTTTCAATCTGTCTTTCAGTTTGGAAAGAGTGATTCCTGTGTAAAACGAAGAGAAGTAACATATTGTTACACTAATGCACAAAGTTATTTCAGTAGCTTGGTTTAGCAATGCCTGTACTGCACACATATAATTTAAACCGCCAACTTAGACTTTCATACAATATGTTAACTCACATAACGAAACCTTTGTTCTAAAATCTCTATATATATAAATAACGAGAGGTCACGACTGATTAGAAAACTAAACATTGAACAAAGATACTAAACATAGAATAGATCAATGCTTGGCTTGAACATATCACTTATTTTGGTAATTTTCATAATGTGTTTTTCATTTGAACATGCATCGTGGTGGCACCTACATCCGCACATGGCCTGGAACGATGTGATAGGTGAATCTCACATCAACACTGAAATCCATGGTACCATGTTTGTCGTCGATTTGTTTGATGTACCTAAAAGCATTATTGATAATCTCCACAGGTATGTCATATTGTTGATTACAAAATATCTATTCTTGCTGAAAAATGCCTTTCGGGGGATCTGCTTAAAAAAATGGGAAACATAGAAATTAAAAGGACGACACTGCAAAATAATGGCATCCAATTATTTTCCGAAAGCGCATTTCTTTTCTGCCGTAAAACATATACTAAACACTTATGTAATTTCCATTTATTATGTATTTGGTACCGAACTTTATTAGTAAATTTTACTGCTTATTTTCTTTTTTTTTATTTAGTAATACTGAGTCGATTATATTACTGGTGAGCTATTAATCTTCTGGCTTCAGTAGCATTCCAATTATGTGTTGCAAACATACATCCTCATATGTAACTTATGAATTGTGTCGTTATGAATAATAATGACCCCACTACCTCTGACAATTTGTAATAAACTGTTGTTGCTACTATATTAAAACCGTACGTCATATTTGTACTAATTCTTTCCATGTAATATTTTGTTTTCAAAAATCAGGAATGGGAAGAAGGTGATATGTTACTTTTCGGCTGGAACGAAAGAAAATTGGCGAAACGATGCCGGCGAGTTTCCATCTAATGGACTTGGAGTTCCTAATAAGGACTGGCCAGGCGAGACATGGGTGGACATCAGAAATAGTCAGTGTGTATATATCATTTTTGCAACGCCTACGACGAATGCCACAGAATGCGAGACATAAGGATATAATCCGGCGGCGCTATTGGCGATGTAAAATATTTGTATAAAGCTTTATACTTCCGGTGGTAAAAAACATGTATGTTTCATACCTTTTATACAGATGCCTTTAATATGTAACAAATGTTCTGTCTGTCATATGTCCATTGTCCTCGAACTCATTTTAAGCGACAAGTTAAAAAAATAATAGTTTTATCGTCATGGGAGTTTTTCACTCATTATGCGTAATAGGACAACTAAATGTAATGTATGGAATAATTGTAAGGTGTAGATATCAGTTTGGCATCTTTCTTCTGACCTTGGCCTCATTTCGTGGTTTATTCGTAAGTTAAGTTTCCTTAGTTTGGTACTATAAGCAATAGGTCAACTATGTTTGGTGTGTGAAATGATTGTGAGGTGTACATGTATACCTCTCAGTGTTCATCTGATCTGACCTCAATGTCCAGGTAATTGGGCAATGTTAAGTTTCTTTGTAAAGTCTGTTCCTTTGAAACTGAAAAAGTCAGCTATATTTGGTGTATGGAAAGATTGCAAGGCGAACATGTCCTTCTAGCTTGGTTCATCTGGATCATTGGTATTACTGTATGTGATACATGTAGTAAAACCTTTATCAAGTTTATGTGATACACGTAGTAAAATCTTTATCTTTCAACTTAAAGTCAATCATGGTCAGTAAAGCAGGCGAGACATGTCATCAGCGTGTTCGAGTGGGTCAAAACAAAGACTTTATTATTATTTGCTGCTTCTCAGTGGGAGGCTGATCGGTTCTGGAGATGTATCTTCTCCGACTATTGACTTGAGGGCCAGCCCATTAAAATGTGTCAGTCTGGTTCATAGCATGATATATTTATGTCCCATTAACATGTCATTTTCCTGAATATGCATTTGGTGGTGGTACATCTTACAAAGTCTAACCGATTTATTTTGCAAAGAATACCACTCAAACCAGTGCTAGGGGCCGTCATTGAGATAAAGAATAGCAACAAATGCGCTGTTCCTTTGGTTTGTGTGCTTTTTGCTTTGCTTTGCTTTGCTGTGCATGTATTTGTTTTATGTCATGGATTGATACTCCATATCCTTTGTTTTTCTATTATGTAACATAATACTTAGCGCCGAAAGTTAATTTGCCATCAATCAATCGAAATCATTAAATCAATACAATATTTCATAATATTATCATGTTTGCAGAGTTAGACGTATAATGAGAGATCGGATTGAATATGCAAATTCCCGACATTGTGATGGTGTAGATCCGGATAATGTAAATGGATGGTCACAGAATCAAGCAGGACTCCATTTAACACAAGATGATCAATTAGACTATAACAGATATTTAGCGACAGGTAATACATGTTTATACTTTGACATCCTTTCTTCGTCCTTGTCAAACTTTGTAATAATGATACTAGTGAACTATACATATGTTACACATTAGAATTTCCTCACAGAATTTTTAATTCCACGTTGACTTTTAAAAGATATAAACGAACTTTAGATATCAAAATTTAGAGGTGGATATCAAGGAAATCCAATTTCATCTGAACGACGGTTTTTCGATTGGGCAATGTTTATTTCAACGTCCAACTATTGCATATCACGTGCACACAACGTATGATACCGATTTTTGTGGGCGAGACACGTGTTTCTGGATTAATCTTCATAAAGTACACTACGATAGAGACAAAAAGTTCCGAAAGCATTGCAATATGAAACATTAAAACCGGACACTGTGAAATTAAGTGTTTACATATTACATCTCCAGCAAAAACTGAAACTTGATCTTTTCAAGGACTTTATTTCTTATAAACAAGAAAACGTTCTGGTAAGTAGTGAAAATAAAAACAAATTGAAATAAAATCAAAATATCCATATATTCAATCCCCCCTAAAAAAGAAAACGACGAGTACAGCAGGCTATAGAAGCTTTATTTGAAATTGGTTTAAAATGTTGCTATGAGCATAAATTCCCTTAGTATCCACTTCAATTTATTTTTCTGCTAGTTGTTTACCTCTCTGGAACATGCCAATTATCTGTTTATGTTTGCATATGGAGATCAGAGATGTGCAGAAATCAAAATACCAAAATAATCGAATGCAGCAAATATTAACTCTTTTCAAATTAACTTACTTGGACCTTATCCCGATGTACACATTGAATGCGAATACATCGTGAAGACCGCAAATACATGTACAAAAATCGTTTTTTGTCTTTAATGTTTAAATCTGCACAGACACATCTTTTAAGTCGTTATATTCACGAAAAGACAATGTTTATATATTGAAAGTTCTCGTGACAAGAGCAGACCGGCGCACTCAAAAACTTAGAGGTGGAAAATAGGTATATTGTGGGGAATTGTGACATGCTAAAAACTAGGTGAAACACTCCAAAAATTGGTTATCACGAATTTACGGAATAAGTTAAAGTTTTTTTTTGTAATTCGCAATAACCGATTAAATTCGTGATCACATTTTTTGTAATTCGTGATAACGGATAAAATACGTGTTGACGAATTGTATTGCGCTGTAAAACTAATCATTGTAAATAATTAAAGTGAATTTATTTATATTTGTTTTCCTTATGACATTATAATCTTAATCAGAATCGAAACCACCAATATATATTAGATTCTCTTACCGATGATTATGACAGTTTGTCGAATAAGGGATTATTTGCTAGCACTTTTTTGTGATACACCAAGTCAAACTTCAAATATTAGTTGAAGACTTAATGGTGTAAAACATCAACAATGCAGCTTTTTCTGTGATAAATAGTGATTTCAAGTCTTAAATGACATACGGGCGACGCCTGCATGCGAAGTGTGTGTCTCCCAAATAAAACATTCTAGAGCTTTCGTTTCCGTGGTGGAGGAATGCTTCTTGCTGGAGTGCCGTTGGGCCGGCGGATTCGGGTTGTGGGAGTAATGGTTATCCTTTCGGGAGTTTTGAGTTTGGTTGACGATTGTTGAATTTTCTGTGTCACGAACGGCCGCGGGCGTGTTCCAATTAAAATGGCCGCATTACCGTACTTATGATTGATTGAGACACCATTGAATGAGACTTGTCACTACACATAGACTTATAATGAGAAACAGACAGGTGCCACTAGAAAAACAGGATCTGCCAACCCTTCCACAACACTTGCGACCACCAGCCGTTTTTGATGGGGTTCGTTTTGCTCAGTCTATACGATTTTTATGTAGTGTTTAGTGGACTTGATTGTCTTTTTGTAGTCTTCGTATTTTGTCAAGGCGTTGTCAGTTTTTCTTAAACTTGTGCAGTTACTTTTTTAATTTCAAATAATGTCAGTGGGTCCAATTTTAGGCCGAGATTTGTATAGTGTTTCAACAGTAGTCATATAGGTGTATTCTATTGGCTCATTTTATGAAATGTGTGTTTTAATTATAATGATCGCTCTTTCAAAGGTTTAGGACAGGAAAGATCACATTCAAATCATAAACAATCTCCATAATTTTAATTCCCCTCGTTGCTTTTAAGGTTTTGTGATTAAAATGAAATGTGTGTTATATTTCATTAAAATAACAGCCAATGCAACGACACATAGCTATTTGTTGTTTTTTGAACATATTTTTTATACAAAGTTTCGTTTTTTAAATGTGTATATAGATGATAATTACATTTTAATTTTTTATACGGAAATTGATATACATTTACATTTTCATAGAAAATGAAATACTTTGGGATCGACATCATTTTTTTTCAAACGAGTTACGAATCTTTTGCCTGTTTCTACTGGTTTACTTTGAAAGTCCCATTTGATAAAACAAGATATCATTATCTTTCAACAGAATACGAATTAAAGATCTCTGTCCAAGAAGAAGATTTTCTTGAGTTATGCACTATATTTTACTTTCGAAAATAAATTTGCAGTGGCACATGAAAATGGTTTAGCTATAGGACTGAAGAACGATGTAAGCCAAATTAGTGACCTGGTAGGCGACTTTGACTTCGCCATAAACGAATCCTGTATGGAGTATCACGAATGTGACCTGTACAAACCTTTTTTTGATGCTAGAAAGGTATACTGAAAATATATTACATTTTCCTTGTTAAACTCAAATCAAAAATATAATGAAAACTACACAATATGATATAACAGTTTATTTTATAACCGACCTGTATATAATGCGGATTTTGATTCAGTAAGAATTGTAAATCTCTATTTAAACTCAACTGGTGATTTCACTTTTCCTTGAAAAAAAAGCTAACCAGTTTCTGATTCTCATACTCAATTAATCAACATCTTCATCTGACAGAAGTAGTTTTTTCTTTCTCTTTTATTTACATCAGAACCATGAGTTGGTGTCTATCGACAGTTATCCATTGGAATCACTTTCAATCCCAATTTGAGGTTGAATCGAAGTTGATTAAAATTCAATTAAAACAATGATAAAAATTGTAAACATTAAACTATAAAAGAGAGGCGAAAGATATCAAAGGGACATTCAAACTCATAAGTCGAAAAATAAATTGACAACGTCATGGAAAAAAACACGAAAAAAAAAACCAAGAGACAAACAATAGTATACAAAACATAAGCCCACAAAAAAAAACGGGTGATCTCATGTGATTTGGAAGAGTCATCAAATTCTGCTCCACATGTGGCACCCGTCGTGTTGCTCATGTAAGTACCAAGCCGGTGATAACTTTAATTCGGTAGGTCACATTCGGAAAAATATGACGGGATAAAGTTAAGTTTAGTTTACTTACCACATGATGCAGTATGGATGTCTAAATGAAGTGCGTTATAATGTTTCTTTCACATCCACGCAGAATGTGTTCAAGAACTAAGACTGACACTCGACTAATATTTAGAAGAAAAAACAAACAGATCTTGATTTGGGACTTCATATGCTATAATTTTACTTCGGTAAAAGTAGACGAACTTGACCCAATATCAAAGAAGGCTGTCATCGCAAGTTTGTTTTAGGAAGTATGAATATAAGAAGAAGTTGAGTTGAAGTTAGTAAGACAATAATTTAATAACATAATAAACCAGAAACAAGTACTGAATTTTTTTCCGGATCAGGAATTTTTGTATCATTTATTATTTTGTCATCTTGGTAGGCACCGTTAGTCTTTCATACATTTGATTTATTCAATTTTAGCCGGTGTTCCACATCCAATACGTGAGCTCTATCACAGAAGGTCACCAGAAGCAAGAAGAGATATGCTCATCGTCAAACCGACCTCAGGACATGAATACTTTAATCAAAGTTGGAATGAAAAACTGGAAACTTGCTTGTTGAATTTTTTTCCAGTAATGAGCATCTTCGCGGCGTACTTGTTTTTATTGAAATCGTCTGAACAAACGACCATATTGTTTTATTTTATTAGTACAATACTGATGAATACTGCATATGTGTCATCATGATATGTTTTGTCCTAGATTATTGGCGGTTAGCTGATATATAACCTTATGCTAGCCTACTTGAGAAAAAAATGTAAATCATGTTAATAAATGCATTGATTTTGCTGTCGCAATTTGAGTAAATAGTACTACTTGCGATTGCAAAAGCAATTTGAAATCGGCAAGCATTGATTTTTTTTTATTTCTTATTTTGGACGTAAACGGAACCGGTACGACGCAGAGCATTCCGGCGGACAAATCTTTGATTGGTGTAAGATTTCAATACTGGTTTATTTTTTTTTTCTCATTTTGGTTCAGTTTAGTAGTAATTTTGACAGAATTAATCAACTGCGACGTGACTTCACGCCACCCAATGTTTGTGAGAGTCAAGCAAGTCACCTTATACCTTATTTATATAATATGTAGCAAAGGGACATTCAAACTCATAAGTCCAAAATAAAATGAAAACGTCATGGCAAAAAAATAAGACCAGAAGACAAACAACAGTATACAAAGCACAGCATAGAAAACTAAAGACTGAGCAAAACGAACCCCAAACAAAAAACGTGTTCATGGAAAATAAATGTATTCTATTCAAATATATCTACTAGTATGTCTAAATGATATATGTACAAATACACTTTTGAAAATTGTTGGGAAAACTCTGCAGCGTATTGGCCCTCTTTCTCTTATCAACAAAGTAGATAAGGTGATGGCTCTTGAAAATTAAAATAATAATCTATAAATTGATGCGTTCAAACTGATTTTCTGGATTTACTTTCATCAGGAACACAACAACCATAAAATGTGAAAGCCAAAGATGTACATGTACTGGAATACTTTAAAGCTTTTTTACCGAAAGGTTCCTCAAAAGAATAGCAAAATCCACCTAGGCTTAACTTGTCAACTTTGCCTCAGTGAATTGGAACCTTAGTGTTTTAATAATTTACAATATTATCAACAGATAATGAAAGTAAGGTGTGCTACTTTTGGAATGCTAGTTTAATATTTCTTTATAATGAAATGAAGGACAGAGCAACAAGAGGACACTAGTGAGTTAACAGTTGAAGAGGAAATACAAAATAGTTATCAAAGCTATAATAAGAATAATTCACTTGATGGTTGCTTGTGCATTAAATTGGTTAAAAGGTGGATCAAACTGAAGGATTACTTCATGAAAACAGCGTCAGTTCATCCAACATCGACTGGTCGGTTCATGATCGAACGAGCAATAGTATCTCACATTTATTTAACAAATGAGGTTATATAAGACCTCCTTGATTTAACTAACCACTATGGTGCTTTGGTTGAAAGGTGAACACCTGGAGTACCGGAGGAAAATCTAGTGACAAAAAGTAATCACCCTTACTGAGTCAGTGTTCGGCCCAAACACTATGGATTATATTTTCACAAGAAAACATTCTGGTCGATTTTAATATAATTAAAAATAATAGATAAAAAGACAGACTAACTATACAATGTTATCATGTGCCTCTTAATTTAGGAATATGCCATGGAAAGAATAGATGTAGACATAATGGGACCATAACCGCTCACTGAACGAAATAACAGATATGTAATCCACCCGACAAGGAAACAGAAACAATAATAAACAATAAAATGTGTGTTGAACATCTTGTGAAGCTTTATGGAGTGCCGATGCATATTTGCATATCAAGATACAAACTTCGAATCAAAAAGAAAAGAAAGGATATGGGGTATTCATCTATGACACAAAATCAGTACATGCTCAGCAAAAAACACAAAAAGCAAAGGAGCAGCGTTTTATTGCTGTTTTTATCTCAAAGTTAAACTAATGCCTTCTATACGGAGCAAAAACTCTCAGATCACTGAAAGGTACGGCCGGTTTGAAGGCTACTAGTAATCCATGAACTCTGTAAACTTTTATAAGTGGATGAAACGAGGAATATTGCACTTCATTCCCAATCCGATGGAATGGTTGAGCGTTAAAACTCATGTATGGAAGCAATGCTAGCTACATGTGTGGATAACGAATAGCAGAACTGGCATTACAGATGATAGCATATCGTAGCGCGGAACATGACACTACCAAGACACCCAATTGACTTGTTATACGGAACTGTTAGTAACGATGAGCATTTTGATAAACACCCGGATTATTTGATACACATGAGGACAATGTACATAAATTTGCCCGTGACAAAAATGAATATAAATTGCATGCGTCCGAAGCGCTTTTCTGAATTTATATTCATCAGGAACCCAAACAGTTGGAGACTTATATGACCAAAAAGGGCCTTAAAATTATAGCCAAATCCATTTAAGGTCAACTTTGCCTGAGGGAGTTAAAACCTTAGTTTCTTGATAATTCATAATAGATATAAGAAGATGTGGTATGAGTGCCAATGAGACAACTCTCCATCCAAGTCAAAATTTTATAAAAGTAAATCTATAAACGGACAATTTAACAAAGGTTTGTAATAAATCATGTCAGTACCGAAGTACTGACAACTGAGCTGATGATACTCTCGGGGACCGATAGTCCATCAGCAACAGTATCAAGAAAACATTAATAATGCCAGTGATAAACATGAATGGTTTTATTACTACAATGTTAATTTTAAACCGTAGGCTGTTAGAGATGCCGTATGGGTACATGAATCTAAGCCAAACGTTATGATTAGTCCGAAACTAGTATAATTTGGGTGGATCCTATCTTGTTAAACTGAACAGTTTTAGTTACTTGGTTTATCAAATTCAAAAGTCCGAATCAACAAGACCAAGAGTTGTGCAATGGACTAGAACCGTATTATGGAGTATGGAGTTTTTGACATTTGGTTAATTGAAACTGTAATTCAAAAAGACATTGATTCTCAGACTACCGCAGTTGATGATCATTTTAAATCTGACAATGAACATTACGATATCACTAATTTACCAACAGACAATATTAAATACAGTCGCGGACATCGTGTAAAGGATCCACATTTTCGCTTTTCATCCTGTATCTAAAGCTCGTACAAACACATTTTATATTTTCCGACAATATACATATATTGTATATATAAACAAGTCTAAATTGAAAACAACGTTCAAACATATGATTGCTTTGGATAAAAACTGCAATTTTTATACGTGTGCATGCAAAACAAATTTCTTGATAGAGGGGTCTAAATACAGCACAAACAACATTTTCCAAAAGACCAAAAAAGTGAAAAAGTATATTTTAACAAAACGCATTTGACTAGCAGGTCGAACAACGGATATTCTTAAATCCTGCTGACTGCCATGGCGACTGCCGAATAAACGGATCACCAGATGTAACAAAATGGATCTTAATTATTAATTTAATACCAAACAGAAAACAATAAACTTGCGGAAAAGATGGTATACCGCAAACATGAGGTGCAAAAATTTGTACCCCATATCCGGATTTCGACAATTAATGTCTCTTCAGTGATGTTAGGAATCGAAACGGTATTTGTAAGGCCATATGATTTACCTCAATTTAGAATTGACTCTTGGATTTTGAAGAGTCGAAATAAGATGAACGGATTATATAAACCCGAAGGCAAATATAATACAAGCCCAAACGAAAAAATATAAACAAGTCTAAATTGAAAACAACGTTCAAACCTATGATTGCGTTGGATAAAAACCGCAATTTTTATACGTGTACATGCAAAACAAATTTCTTGGTAGAGGGGTCTAAATACAGCACAAACAACATTTTCCAAAAGACCAAAAAAGTAAATAAGTATATTTTAACAAAACGCATTTGACTAGCAGGTCGAACAACGGATTATCTTAAACCCTGCTGACTGCCATGGCGATTGCCAAATATATATATAATATGTCTTTATTGGCACTCAAGATATTGAAATCAAAATTGGCATGTAAAACAAATGTAAATTATAGCACACTCATGAAAGTCTCTTTGTTTTCTTCGTAAAGTCCAATTGTGGTGAACTCTTTTTTTTCTTTTTTTCTTTATTGTAAAGCTGTTGTCAATTAAAAATGGTAATTGAAAAAAAAGAAAGAAATTCCGCAAGAAAAATCATACTGTTGTGCAATTTCATATGTTTCTCTTTACAAAATGTTTCTAATATTTCATTAAATTAACTTTTGAATTCCAATTTTAAATATCAATATATTTTATAGTATACGAATTAGAAACAAGAATATTTAAAACTGGTATGAATTATACAAGTCGATGCGATAAAACTGTAAATTATCGGCAATAATAGTTAATACATCCGTTTACACATTTCCGCTTCTGTACAATATCTGTTATTAAGCCCGAGAACACAGATATTTCGTAGTGCATTTCTTTTATACAATAAATTTAGATTTAAAAACTCGCACCTGCTCTATCTCAAAAAGATTTCTACAGTGCAGTTTACTACTATTGGGGCAAATTATATCAAAATGATAGAAAAGTCTACCAGTTCTAACTCAAAATACGGACAGTTCTATGTTAAGGGATTCAATGATTCAGTTTGACTTCAGACATACTAATTTTTGACCTTTTTTAACTGGACCAAATCAAAACATTTCCTAAATATTCATCAGCCAAATATTTTTGACATACTATACTTTGGACTATATTTGCAAATCAAATGACGATAACTGTGTCCTCGGACTATTAACTTCCCCGACAACGAAATCGATACGATTATCGACTGTAAATTAAATAAATCCCATCAAACAATATATTTATTATGAATGTATTTATTATGTCCCAGGAAAAATATAGTTGGTCATTGATCAAATGTGTCAAGGTCATTCAAATGATAAAAATATTAAGGACCATTGTTAAAAGAATCCATTATTTATAGTTTATTGGTTTCAAAAACATTTCGTTTTCGTAATTTTCATTTTTTCCTCGAAACACCTGTCTCATAATTAGACAACTCCGATTTTGGCCAACGATTGACAGCTTTTGACTCTTCAGAACAGAACGTATTGAATGAATGTGTCTAACAGTACAATACATTCGCTTCAAAAGCTTAAGGTAAACTGAATTTTTCTTCGTAGGAATTTTTTTCATTGTAAATATCTTTTAAGATATTTAAAATATTAGTTGTTAGATATGAAAAAATAAGGACAATATAAAGAACCCAAATTCAACATGTTAATAATTTATAAGTAAATTTCACATCACTTCAATTATTAATGTTATTTCTATGTCAAATGTTGATGACCTAACTTGGAATAAAAATATTCTTCAATAAGATTTTGAAACAAATTGACTCGCATGTAAATATATCATTGCACATTGAAGAAATATAAAGTGTGTGTAAAAATTACTTCAAATCATTTAAGTCCGATTAGTATAAGATGTTTAAAGTTTAATTTTACAAATTTTCCATATTGTCATATAGTATTGTTCAGA